TAGAAATCATTATTATCTTAATCTGTTGTGCAATGGCATTTAGCAAATGAATACTGTTGGAATAAAATCATTTTTTGTATCTCTCAAGTATAGAAAAACTCAAGTCTGTTACCTCAAAGAATTTAATATATATTTCAAAGTCTTCTTCAACTACTAAAACATTTGAGATACTAATAAATGTCTTTGTGGCCATAATACTTCTAACATGACAGGCAGACCTGAACAGACAGCTAACAATCTTAAAAATATTTTATTTATTCTACCATTTTGTTGTATTTTTCCAATAATCAAAGAATAAAAGCCATCTATATTATTTTTGGCCTCACTTCTGTTGTTGTAATCACTGAATTTCAATCCATCTCTTGAAAAAATAAGAGATGTTTTATATCTCATTATTATAATTTGCATATTACTATATTATCCAAATTATAATTTTGATATTTGAAATGTCCAAGGTTGTATTTACATTTTATTCACAGATGAACATTAGTATTGCAATGAAATAACTCTCAGGATTTTAATTTTGCAAAATTGTTTATTATATATTATTAACTATATCAAATATTTGAACATAAAGGATTAGCAAGCAAGGTCATGGCCACTATCTCAGAAAGATTATAGTCATAATTTGATTGAAATAATAAACAATAATTTGAAGGACAAATTTTAATACTTGAAACTCAGATAATTGAGAAAATCAACATTAGGTTTGTTTAGATAAATATTTCATTTTAACTAAGGTAATAAAATCAATACTAAATAATGTCCAGTGCTGTTTGGTGTACAGTTTATAACTTTTATTCTTTTGCAATTTTTCTATTTCCCTTTGTTATCTTGGAGAAAGTTGGAATAAAGTAAAAATAATAATGTTGCTATCTTACAAAGGCTGAGTAAAAAGTTTGTGGGTTGTGTTACGGTAGATTATTTTTTTTATGTTAGAGCAATATTTAAGTAAATTATATAAAAAATGTTTAGGAGCATGACAAATACTTTTAGGTTATTCTTCATGTTGTTGCAGATACTTAAAAACCAATTTCAATAGTTTCCTTACAAGAAAGGGTCAGTTTTTAAAAATTTTCAGAAATAATTGAAAATGTTCTAAATGATTAACATGTTCAATCTCCAGAATTATATTGGGCTTGTTAAATGTTAAAAGGCTATTACTAATGTACATACAAATAATTGTAACAAAATTTCAACTTTTCGTCATTTAGTGAAATGTAAAATTTAAATATTTACAGGAATTTTGTTTAGGCATTATATATTTACCTTGTTGTTCATGAAATAGCTTTTTAATCTCTTCATAGAATTTCTCATTTCTTTATTTCTCAGTGTATAAATAGCTGGAATTAAGAGAGGTGCAAAAACAGAATAAAAAACAGCAAGAAATTTGTCTAACCAGGTGATTTTGAGGGGCCACACGTAGATGAAGATGCAGGGAACAAAAAAGATCATCACCACTGTGATGTGGGCAGTGCACGTGGACAGGGCCTTAGAAGCACCAGAATTAGAACTCTGGCGAACAGTGAACAGGATATATGTGTAGGATATGAGCAATAGAATGAAGCAGGTTACAATCACAACTCCACAGTCAGCATTTACTAAAGTGTCCAAGTCATGAGAATCCATGCAGGCTAGGTTGATCACCAGTGGTATGTCACAGAAGAAACTGTCAATTTCCATGGGACCACAGAGAGGCAGCTGCAAAACTGCCACAAGCTGACTCATGGCATGCACAAAACCAATAGTCCAGGAAGTCAACACCAACCCAGTGCATCTTTTCAGGTTCATAATGGTGAAGTAGTGGAGTGGTTTGCAGATGGCCACATAGCGGTTATAAGCCATTACCACCAACTGCACCATTTCTCCTGCATCAATGCAATGGGCAAAGAACACCTGGGACATGCAGCCTGAAAAAGAAATGGTCTTGTTTTTTCTGAGAACATCTGCAATCATCTTAGGAGTGGTGACTGAGGAAAGCCACATATCAACAAAGGACAGGTTGGCCAAAAAGAAATACATTGGGGAATGGAGATTGTGATCAGTGGCTATTAAGACCATTATAACAATATTTCCTGATACAATGAGCAGATAAAACATTAAAAATATTATGAAGAGTAAGACCTGAAGATCTTCTGAATGGGAAAGTCCCAAAAGCACAAATTCTGATACAATGGACTGATTCCTCCCATCCATTACACTCAGTGTTTCTTTATAAATAACCTGCAAAGAAAGATCTATTAGATAGATAAGCAAAGTGACTTAATTCATCAATTCTGACCTTCACATTGAAAGTCTACATCTATTCATGAAGCGGAAAAGCTAAATGTCAAGACAAGTCTTTGTCAATTTTGAAAAGCACTGCTACCCAAGTGAAAGCTTATGAGTCAAATCCAACTCCCCATGAAGAGAAGCATCAGGTGTGACTGCTATACACATGCTCTATCAGGAAATCCATATAGAGGAGAGCAGTGAGGAAGCAGGACAGCAATTTGAATGCCTCAAAATGTATGTGGCTTCACCTGGAAGTGTGCCTATGCCCATCAGTCTAGTAAAAATATGGTCTGAATGTGTCACCAGCAATCATAACACTTCATAATAGAAATGCAGTGTATACTTTGGACCTGATAGGAATTACATTAAACATCAGTAGAAAGGCTCTGGCAGGATCTGTGCAATCTTTTGCAACCTGTATGATTGTGATCACCAGTAGAGGAATTTCTGTGACATCACTGAGTTAAAATATTTGTTTAAAGCCTAAATTTGAGTTGGGAAAACCTTGTTGGAGGAGAGTGGTACATAACACCACATAAGGAATACATGGTTTGAGATTTGAATGTAAAAACCGGAATCATACATTTTCATTAACAAATATTTATCACAGGATAAATTAACAAGATAGCATGTCAAATGCACATATAATTTGCAACCAAGACAACTAATATTCAAACCTGATCTCTGAAAGTTACATTTAGATCATTTTTAGCAGTTGGAAAAACTGATCTTGAATTTTATCAACTAATCTTGAGAATTCTTAGGATTCGAAATACAGTTTCCTGGAAATCTATCATCTCTCTATCATCTGTTTTTTCATTATTTTTCTTATGTATGGATAATCCTTGTTTTTTGAAAAATCAAAATAGATTTCAAAATATATAAACAAATTGGATCTAAATTCCATGATGGATTTTTTTGATAAAATATTGTGATTCTGGGGCCGGGCGTTGGTGGCACACATCTTTAATCCTAGCACTCAGGAGGCAGAGGCAGGCGGATCTCTGTGAGTTCGAGGCCAGGTTGGACCGACAGCCTCCAAAACGATACAGACAAACCCTGTCTCGTAAAATCAAAAAAAAAATTGTGATTCTGTTCTTCACAACTCATTCTCAAACAATGTATTTCCCATTTTGTGTTCTGTACAGTTTCCCTCCTACAAGACTTTCTGAACATCTACATTAGAGCTCTAAGTAAATATTTTAATTCAATGATGCCATAGCAATGATTCTATTGGTGATCAATGAAATCATGAAAGCTGTGTAAAATGATAAGATTCTGTCAGAATTTTTGTATTGAAATGCAATGTAATTCCTGTTGTCAACCTTGGATGAACAGAATACAGCAGCTATTCACTTGCAAGCACAGGTAAATTGCTGATACTACTCTGTAATGGAAAACACTCAAAAGGATAGTGGGAAATCATTGCTCATTTCCTTCTTCCTTCAGTAATTCTCTTGGTGATTTTCAAGTTTTAGGTCTTATTCTTTAATTTGTTGAAATCTCCATTGTGAGAGAATGCAGCAGGTGAACAAAGAAAGATCTCATATTATCATTGAAATTGCATCTACCTTCCCATTTTTATGAGGCCTCTGAAGGGTGGAGTTATGATAAAAACTAAGAACGTACTAAAAACATCAGGTAACACATCTATTTGCAGTAGAAGCATGGCCAGTATTGGTTTGGTACAAATTATCAGACCCTCTAAGGAAAAGACACATATGATACCAAACAGGTTCCACAAGAAGTCTGATAATCTGAATTGTACCTCTAAACTTAGTTTTCTATTATCCTGACAATTTCCAGCACAGTTTTCAAAAACCAGTTCTGTATCTTCTAGAATAATTTACATGGGTAATAGAAATTTAATATTTCATGTATTTAAGATGGAAATTTTCTGCAAGATGACTATTCACATTCTTAGGAAGCAGTTTGTCAATGTAAAAGTATTAAGATGAAGTTTCATATTCTTATTATTCAGAATCATGGGGGAATAGTCATATTAATATTAACATGTTTAGCACAAATGCTTGACAAAGCATAAGTCTAAATAAGTCAGATCTGATTGATTTCATGTCAGCAGTTGTTATATATGGCTTTGTACTAAAAGTATTTCCATTTATTTACCTATAAAATTAATACACTTAATTGAATACTTGTTATGAAGGTGTTAAAAAAAGATACAGAGAAAAATAAGCAGGCTTTTCTATATTTCATAGTAAACTGAACCATTAGACATGTTCTCCTTTCTGGGTACTTTTAATAGAATTTATAGTTAGGTAAGTTAGGTTTTCTAGATATACAGAAATATATTTGAGATAGATAAACAGTCTTCAAACCTCTCAAAGACCTTCAGAAAATGGCATTTAAAATGGTTTAGGGTTTTTCTTGATAATGAGAAATGTCTGCTCCTGGTATCACCAATTACGTCTGAGATGGGCATCGAAGAAACTCGTTATGGAGTTTGCTTTCAACATGGCAAGATTAGCCATTTGGGCAAGAAACTGCTCTTCCCTGTACTTCTTGACTGTTGTTGTATATTCTGGACATGCAGGACCCACAGAAAAGTGACTGCTGAACTCAGTCTTACAGAGTTCCTGCTTCATGGAAGAGTCTACGAGATTTTCTGCAGGACAAAGAAAAATGACTGACAGACTGCCAACGCAGATGGACAGTTTGAAATTTCCTGATTTGCTGAGAAATCTTCTGGATACATTGTGGCCTATGGGCTGAAGATGGATGCCCCAACGTTACAGAGGAACTTTGGGTGACTGTCCAGGTAGCAAGATGTCTCTGTCAATCCTAGTGTTTATATATTATCCTTCTGTAGTCTTTGATGGAGTTGAAGACAGATAGTTATAGTTTTTCTTAGTTATGATAAAAGATAAGCTACATATATGACTTTGGATCACAAGATTGAGATAGATGATATTTTCTTTAAATCTTACTAAATGTTAATAGACAAAATATTGTAACTATGTTCTTACTTGATAATTATTCTTTTATATATAATTTAACTGTTAAAGTTAAGACCTTTCTTTTTGTTTAGACAGAAAAGAGGAGATGGTGGGGAAGTCCTATGTATATGTCAATAAAGCACTGTCTGGCCAATAGGAATCTAGATAGGTGGGGCTAGGAATCCAGGAGGATTCTGGGAAGGAGAAACACAGGAGAGTCAAGATGTAATGCCATGGAGGTAGGAAGCCCGGAACTATTCTCCAGTAAGAGAAATACTTAGATTAACAATTATGGGGTAATTACTTAAGTCAGAGCTAGCCAGTAAGAAACAAGCAAGGCCAACAGCTTCATAATTAATATAGCCTCCTGTGTGTTTATTTGGGACTGATGTGGCTCTGGAACCAGGCTGGCGGGAAGGCTGGCTTCTCTCAAGGAAAAAGCTTCTCTTTACAGTTTCTCAGAAATTTGTTTCCTCTCTTAAGAACTCTATTTAGGGCTTTCATCCATTTTTAAATTGGATTATTTCTTCTCTGATATCTAGTTTTTTGAGTTCTTTATATATTTGAATATCAGTCATCTCTTGGATGTGTAGTCTGTAAAAATCTTTTCCTATTTGGCAGGCTGCTGGTTTTTCAGATTGATTGATGTCCTTTGCAGTACTGAAACTTTTAAGGATAATTAGATCCCATTTATTAACCCAGGTACATAAATACAAATACAGTGCATATTTGCTTATATAGGGATATTAATTTTTAAGTCAATGATAACCAAACTGCAATCCATAGAACCACAGAGAGTAGATATAGAGTAGGGGACTGAAATGGGGGGGCAAACAGATCTCCCTACTATGGGAAAGGATGGAAGGTGCAGAACAGGAGGATAAAGTAGGGATGGGGAGAAAGTAGGGAACAAAGGAGGGAATACAAAGAGAGATATGTAAAATTAAGGATCATCCAAAGGGTAATATGGAAACCTAATATTGTAGATGCTTACAAAAATACACATATATGAAAATATACATTATATGAAATTGCCACATAATGGCTGATACAAAGCCCCAACCAGATATCTCTTGCAATCAAATGAAGCTTCCAATAGTGGGATAGGGCTAAATCCAATGGAGTTGTTGGACAAAGGAGTGTTATGGGAACCCCCTAACCACCCAGGCTGAGTGACAGAGACTATAGGATGCTGTCCACAAACCAACAGCAAGACCCCATTTTGCTGAAGACAACACCTACACAAGATATTGAACATGGAGAAGTCGAGATAGTGCCTACATAGAGCCTTTGCCCTGACATGCCATCATCTTTAGTTCAAGATGGTATTCTACATACTACCAAAGTAGAAACATAAGCACTGTCTCATCTATAAAAACTGTGATCTCCAGTGACGACCTTTGTAGTGATATATTGTTTACAATTTAATAATGCTTGCTCAGAGATCAGAATGTAAAAGCTGGGCAGCAGCAGCATACATTTTTAATCCCAGGATTCAGGAGATAGAAGCAGATGGGCCTCTGTGAGTTCAAGGCAACCCAAGGCTACATGAGAGTGAATCACTCTAAAAGAGAAACAAAGCTCTCACCTTTAGTTCCAGCACTAGAGAGGTGTGTAAGATATGAGCAGGGGCTCAGAGTTGGCATTCAGTCTCCAGCCATGCTGATCATTCACAGAGCTAGGATTGTCCTTTAAGTCTGAGGTAGAGGTAAGAGCTAGTGGCTGGCTGTTTTGCTTTTCTGATCTTCAACTTGAACCCAATATCTGTGGCTGTGTTTTTAATATTCGTGCTATAGACTTGCTTGCAAGACAAGTTATTCCAGTGGCAGCACGTAGGCTGTGGGAGTAACCAGTCAATGTTTGATTTTATTTCAGGTCCATACCACAAGATACCTGACACTGGCTGGGTGACCAAGGGCCTGAAATGGATAGCCAGGGGTCTATGGTAAAACCAGATACTACTATTCAAAATAAGACAAAACAAAACCTCCAAAAACTAGTAATAAAATGATTACCAATGACATATTGCAATACTCATAGATCAGTGTCTTACTCAGCCATCATCAGAGAAACTTCTTCCTGCAGCAGATGGGAAAAATACAAAGACTCACAGACAGACAATATTCAGAGAATGAGAGACCTTGGGATACTTAGTCTTAAATGGCATATCTCCACCAAATCCCCCTGAACCCTGTGGAACAGGAGGAAGAAAGATTGTAACAGTCAGAGAGATTGGAGTTCACCAAGGAAAGAAATTCTTCTAAAGATAGCAGGTAAATGCACATATGCACTCACAGAGACTGAGACAGCATGCATAGGGTCTGCACCAAATGGGGTCCTAGAGAAGGAGAAATAGATACAAGTTCCCATCCCTAACCCAGAAGATATTCCCAGTTGATATCCACTTGCACATGAAAATTTAATTTTCCCAAAGAAGTCTTATAGAGGAAAAAGAGTTTCTTATGGTAGGTCATGTGTGGCCAGTAGTAGATGGCCAACAGAAATGAATGGAAAGACATCTTTGGATATTTCTTGTCTCACCAAGTCATGCTAGGCCTTTTCAGTTTTTTTTTTAATTAAAAATTATTTTACTTTTATTTTATTTGCATGTGTATTTTCTCTCTCTCTATTTACCCTATAGGTACCTTTGTATATATATTATGGCATTCAGTTTAATGTTTTTATCAGATTCCTGAGTGGGCAAAAAAGTGGGTCTCTGAATCTCTATTTGTTTCTTGTGTCTTTACTTGGGCTCTTTTCCTTCTGTTTGATTGTTTTGTCCTACTCTGATATGCCAGTTTTTGTTTTATCTTTTTATGTTTTATTATATCTCTTAGAAGTCTGTTCATTTTCTAATGAGAGAAAGAAGCTGGATCCTGATGATAGGGGAAATTGGGAGGGACTGGGAGGAGTAGAGGGAGGGAAAACCATATGCAGGGTATAGCATATGAGGAAAACGTTCAGTTTTCAATATAATGAAAAATGGGCTACGAAGGAATAAAAGGTGTCAAAAAATGTCTTTAAAATGTCAATGGTCCATAGCTATTAAGGAGATAAAAATCACAACTTAGGCATTTTATCTTTCCCCAGTAAGAAAGACTAAGATCAACAAAACAAGTGACAACAAAATGATGGTGAGGATGTAGGGAAACAGGAAATTGTATTCATTATCAGCAGAGCTGCAAACTAATTCAGGCCCTCGGGAAATTAATGTGAAGAATTCTTCAAAAGCTAAAAATAAATATACCACAAGACCACGTTATACCTCTAATCGCGCATGATCAACATCCCACGCTCCACAGACACTTGTTCAGCATAGTTTCATTCCTGCTTTGCTCACAATTGACTAGACAAAGGTCCTTCATTTGGGGAATGGATGATGAAAATGTGGTATATGAATACTGTGGAGTATTATTCAGCTATAAATAAAAATGAAATAACAAAAATTGCATGGAAGGTTATCTGGAATTAGGAAGAACATATCGTGTGAGGCAACTCAGACCCAGAAAAACAAACATGGACTCTTCTTGCCCATCTGAGTCTCCTAACTTTGAATCTTCAGATGTTAAGTGTATAATCTAGAGCAGTATCAGAAAGCAGAAAAGTAAAATTGGACCATGGAGGGGAACAAAAGAAATGGGAGTAAGAAAGTGCTTGAAAGGGGAAATGCAAAAAGGGGGAAGTTAGATAGGGTGGGAAGACAGTGATCAATAAGAAGGAGAGAAGAAAAAATAAGATTAAGGATCTGAAAAGCTCTCTCTGTCTCTCTCTCCCACACATATATAATTACATGTATTACATATATATCTGTGTGTATACATATACAATATAGTTTAAAGTTATTCAGCTTTGTCTGACAATGCCACCCATAACAGCCTTTGAGTATCTAACAAAGACCCTGATACCAGGCATGAGATTCCCTGTTTCCAGTCATTGTTGGGGAATTCAAGAGAGTTTTAAAACAACAGGTTATTGCCTCCCAGATGTTGAAAGTAATTCCTTATTGCTGAAAAAACAAACAAACAAAACAAAACAAAAACCATGTTACAATGTACTCTGGTCACAAGATGAAGAGGTTCAAGCTGGATTTGACCTCAAGGCTACTTACTTGAGGATTAGCTTTCATAGTACTGAAGTTTTAGATACTATACAAGCATCCAAGCTAGGGAAGCCATCAATAGCTGTTGCCTAGCTCTGTTGACTATGAACCACAACACTGGCCAACATGGCATCTTGTCCCTAAATGTAGGTACTAAAATTTACTTACTGGGTCAAGGTTACCTGATAAGAAATGCAAATCCTCCTGGGATGTATGAGTCTCAGCAAGACTAGGACTGAGACAGGTTTATTGTAAGAAATCAGATTTTTTAATGCCCTTATAGAAACAGAATACAATGGAGTTTTCCAAGATTAATATAATCATAGTTGCCAGGATACAATGTCATTTGCAAGATATAGAGGGCATACAAGATTAACATCTAAAATTAATTGTCCAGACAAGCTTCTGTGTGCCTCACTGACTTCCAAGGAATGAAGAGAAACTCAGGTGGCCTGAATGCTTCACTGCGTGAGGGAAAGTCTTGGTTTCTTAGGAACTGAAAGGCACACAGTGTCCCAAGAGCCATGTACTCTAACCTGAAAGACCTATGGCAAATGCCTCTCAAGGCAAATTGATCAGGCCAACTCCATGGTTCTCCATGCTTATGAGTGCTCTAATGGTACTCACATCTTGGTAGTAACCAACTGTTTTCTACTAGGACTTGAGATCCCCTCAATGGGAAGGAAATCATGCATGGTACTGAGAACCTAATTATCTGCCTGAAGCTAGTGAGGCTATGAAACTTAGTGAGGAATCTGTTATAACACTTTATTTATGGTTTAGTAAATTCTAACTGCATTCTAAATAATTATCCTTAAGCTCACAGATAAGGGTAACTTTACTTCCTCATCAAATAAACTTACAGAAAGGTACAACTTGTCAAAATTCAAAGAACAAGGAGCCATGGGCTAACGAGCCCAAACTGACACATCTATAACATAATTTCTGAATCTAGTGCTCAGGGAACACTGTGAAAGGCTTTGAAAGATTGTAAGAGGCAGGGAGGTTCAGGAAATGTGCTGTGAGCTTGTATCCCCTAGAAATGATGATAAAGCTTCACCCATGATATTTAAACAATATGACTGCTTAAATAAGACCTGAACAATGATACACCAACATGTATGTGATGTGGAAGGATAAATGTCACAGAGCTCCACAGTCTTTCCCTGGGAGCAACCCTATAACTGACAAATACCAAGTAGTCAGCCCTGAAATCTTGTACATATAAGTGACACTAAATAAATTGAGCATATTGTATTTATATATTTAGATATGTATACATACATATATCCTTACATATTGCAATAGCAAAGAACAGGCCATGAATTTGAGGGTGCTGAGTGGGGTGTACACATATGAGAGGTTAGAGGGAGGAAAGGGAAGAAAGAATTATTTAAGTATATTTTAATTTAAAACTTTAAGAAGTCAATCACCAAACAAAAATCTTGCTCGTTTAGACTACAAAGCCTCCTAGAACATCATTAGAACTATACTTGGCAATCATTTTTTTTCCAGAAATGCCACCTTGACACAAATCTTGCCTCATTTACCCACAAGTGAAATGTAGAACCCCTTGACTGTTTTCTCTTCTTAAATATCCTTCCATGATAGAGGGAATTATTATAGGTTTGAGGAGGGATCTGGCACTAGTGAGATTTCCAGAGATCTACAAGGATGACACCAACTGGCAAACTAAGCAATAGTAGAAAGACTACCTTAAATGCCCCTCCCTGATAATGAGTTTGACTACTTCCTTATATGCCACCCTAGAACCTTCAACCAATGACTGATGGAAGCAGAGGCAGCCACCCACAGCTAAACACTGAACTGAACCCCTGAAACCCAGCAACAGAGAGGGAGGAGTGATGAGCAAAGGGGTCAAGACTGGGTTGTTTAACCCAGAGAAACAGCTTACCTGAACAAGGTGGAGCTCTTAGACCCCAGACTGATGACTGGGAGCCCAGCATGGAACTGATACAGATTTCCTGAATGTGGATGTCAGTGAGGAGGCCTAGGCAATCTATGGGGCCTTGGGTAGTAGATCAGTATTTATCTCTGGCATACAAATGAACTTTGGGTGCCCATCCCACAATGAGGGATGCTTTCTCAGCCTGGACTCTTGGGGGAGGGCGTAGGCCCTGCCCGGAACAAAATGACAGACTCGGGATATTCCCCTTGGAGGGCCTTACCCTCCTTGGGGATCAATTAGAGTGGGAATTGGGTGGGTGGGGGAGGCTGGGGACTTGGGGGGCATGGGAGGAGGGTAGGGAGAGGGAGCTGAGATTGACATGTGAAGCAACCTTGTTTCTAATTTAAATTTAAAATAGTGGGGTACAAAAACATCTTTTCATAGTTGCTTCAGTATTTTGCAAAGCAAAGATACATGGTGCTAAGCCATTCAGATCTGCCAAAGCCTCTCCCACTTCATAAATGTCATGTTACACTGTAAAGGGCAATGATCTTTTTTTAATTATTTTTTGAGACGGGGTTTCTCTGTGTAGCTATGGAGCCTGTCTTGGCACTCGTTTTGTAGATCAGGCTGGCCTTGAACTCACAGAAATCTACCTACCTCTGCCGCCTGTGTGCTGGGATTATAAAGGCCTGTGCCACTATCGCCCATCAAGAGCAATGATCTTCTAAAGCTCTATACCACTCCTTAGACTCCCAAGGAGTCAATATCAGTCTCTGTTTCTTCCTTTAACATTTTTATTTATTTTTTGAGAACTACATACAATTCATTTGATTATATTCTTTCCCATGCTCCAAATCCTCCCATCTTCCCCACCACCTGTTTACCCAACCAATTTTATTTTATTTTCTCTTTCTTAAGAAAACCAAATGAGTCCTGTGGGAACTACCAAGCAACCAAGGTTCTCCACTAACTGATGGCAGAGCCCTATAAAATAACATCTGTACAGCTCGCT